AAGGCCAAAGCGGCTGGAGTAACGGGGTGCGGGAGTGCGTGCGTGTGCAGGGATGAGGCAACAGACACTCCCCTCTGCCCCTTCTTCAGGGAAAGACCCGAAAACACCTGCCTCAGCCAGGGTGGGCAGGGGGCAGCTGAGGTGGGGCAGGCTCCGCCAGCCCTACAAGAGACCCCCGTAGCCCAGCGGAGGGTGGCACTCTGTGTCCGTCCCACACCAAGCCACCCTGAAGATGCTCCCTCCTGCTCAGATTGTGGGACAGCAGCAGGCTGCCCCCAGCAAGAGGACACGGCTCCATGAGGCTCTGGCGTGCGGTGTGCTGAAGGAGGTGGCGGCTGTGGAAGGGGTGTTCTCCAGGCTCCCGGAGGCTGTGTATCCTTCCAGATGCAGCTGAGCTTTCCAGTCAGCAACAAGCATGGCAAATGTGCTTTCGGGGCCCTGGGTCCAACTCCTGCCCGTGTGGCAGCTGCCCGCCCTGTAGCGCTGAGCTCTGCCCTACAGAGAGGGGCGACAGCTCATCATGAAGTCTGCCCAGCTTTTTTCTTCAGGCACTGCTGACTTACTCCCCATCTCCTCTCAGACAGCCTCCACTGCTACACTCAACCCTTTCTCTTGCTGGTCCCTTTCTCCCTTTACCATCCCATTCTTTCCAGTGTGGCCATCTCTTCCCCTGGTCTTTCCAGCCTGTCCCTCTTCTCCCCCCTCTCCATCTCCCTCTACCTGTCCCCTCCTTGCCTCCCCATTCCTTGGTCCCACCACATCTTCCTCACCCCTGCTGTGTCTGCCCCTCCTCTCTCTTCCTCAGCTCCTTTTCTCCCTTCCCTCCTGCATCTCCCCCTCTTTCCCCCAAGCCCGCCTGGCAGAGCCTCCTCCAGGAAGGCAGGCTGATTAGCATTGCAAACACACAGAGGCCTCCTCAGCCCAACATAAATCTTCATTTGTCAGTCATGAATATTTCACACCTGCCTCGGGAGGGATTTATTCAGCATGGAAGAGTGGGGAGGGGGAGAGGGGAACGTGGCACTGCAGCATAAGCTGGGGCAGCACCGGCAGGGATGTGGGAGAGCTCTGCCGCACGGGAACAGCACGCCTAGGGTCTCACCTTCACTCTTCTGGGTGCAGGAACCTAGCCCAGGCTCCCCCCTTGAGCCTGTTCCTGGGGGAATAGGGCAGGTCAGCAACCAACCTCATTCCTCACCATCCGTGCTTTCCAGTGAGGTGAACTAAACCCCCCATTTCCCTGCCAAGAGTCACCAACGGAGAAATAAAGCATGAGAGGGGCTGGTCCTGGTTCTGACCCAGGGACCCACTTGGCCCTGGGAGAAGGCAGGGGTGAGGGGCTCTTGCCAAAGCCAAGCCATAGAGGGCTTAGAAACTTCAGGCAGTCTCTCGATGCTTTTTCTACCACAGAGGCCTTAAAGGCCCTCTGCCAGGGCCACCCATGGGAGAGGAGGGGTAGAACAGACCTGATCCAGAGCTCCCTGCAATCAATGAGAGGAAGGTGGTGGGAGGTCTTCTAGTGATTGCAACCAGCTCCACGTCAAGCTTTCACTGTATCAGAGGTATCCCTGCAGCTGAAGCACTCCTTGTTCCTGCAAGAATAGCCTTACTTGTATGTTTGGGGAAAGAGCAACCAGGGCATATGGATGGTAGTGACCATTTCTCTTATGAGATGTGTCTTGATGGGCCTCATTCCTATTTCTAAATAATTAGGAGAAATGATGACCACTAGAAAGAGCAGGCCTTTGGTATACAACACATCCCCCTTCATGCACACGACCCTGAAAAGCAGCTGAGAGACCACATTTGGGGCAAGGGGAGGGGGACACTGGAAAGAAAAAGGAATGTTTTTTATGGGGCTGATTGGGTTGGGTTCTCTTTGGGGTGTGTACCCTCCTAAACTGGTAGGAGTCCCTCATAAAATCACATCAGGGATGAATGAAAGGAGCAGGGAAAACAGGGACAAGGACAGGAGAGACTTTGGGGGAGGAAGTTAAATTCCAACAAACTGGCACATACACAACAGGTGTTTGCTCAGAAAAATACAGTAAAATCGTCATGCAAATAGAACGTTAAATCTGCTTTCCTCCGACAGGGCTGGCGTCACTTTGCGAGCCCTCGTCCCTGGGGAGGGAGCAGGACAAGGAAGAAGGGAGGAGGAAGGAAGGTAGGATACTTTGTTCCCCTTCCTTGCCCTCTTCCTCCCACAGAACAGTCCATCTTGTGCAAACTTCACCCACTGGTGTGGAGTGGGGGGCTACAGTTGGGAGAGAAATGGTTTGTCCCTCCTACCCAGCCTTACCCCCACCACAGGCAAAAGAAGGGCCTGATGATAGCTGTATCCCTGACCTTTCTTTTCTGCCTCTTTGGGGTGATGGGGGAGGGAGCAGAAACCATTACAGGTTAACGCTCCCCCCAAAAGTACAGACTGAGCAGAACTGATTACAAGACCATACAGCAGAGAAGCACAGGGAGGGAAGAGGTGGGGAGAGGAACAGGACTCCATCCCCCCGTGCCTGTCATCCCCCTTTTCCTGTCCAGTTCTGTGCCCCAGCCATTAGTCTTTCCTGCTTGGATGGTTGCCACACTGGAAGACCGCTGGGCCTGCTCCATGTCGTAGCTGGATAGGTTTCTGCTGTGCCTAAGCATCTCTCACAGCATTTACCTGTCTTGATTTGCTGCATTGTCCCAACATGGAGGGACACCTGGCAGCAGTGATGTGACTTCCCTTCATCCTCCTGCACATACACACACACACATACACACACGTGTGCACACACACCTCTTCCTCTGGGTTGGACTGGCTCTTACAGTGTGGAGTCAGTCCCATAAATACCTCTGGACTCAAGGCAAAATAATGCTTTGACTGTGGGGAAGCAGGCTGACAGTGAAGGAAGCTGAGGCAATGGGATCAGGACCTGGCTTAGGACTGTTACCATCAGCATCCCTACAAGGAAGGAATCCCACAGATCTTCACAGGTTTAGACCTTGGGGATCCCCTCTCTGGTTTTCACACACCAGGCTCTGCCTACTGCTGCTCCTCACTTACAGAAGACGAAGTCATGTCACCTGTGGCATAGAAACCAGCTCTCACAGCTGGCAGTGCTACTACCTGACAGATAACGGGCAGGTTCTCTGCAAGCAGCATGTAAATCCCTTCCAGAGAAGCTCCTACACCCTCATCCTTCTCCCAGAGCCCCCAAAAACACTGGGGCTTCCGAGGAGCGCCTCAAAAAGGAAACAGCCACTTAGGAAAGGCCAGCACAACACAGGCCCTCACCCTCATCCTGATAGAGGTGAACGATTGTCAAGAATTGGGGTGTGCAGCTCATGGAGAGAAGGCCCACTGTGCTGCACAAAGACGCACTCAGCAGGCAGCACCCCTGCCTGACAAGAAAACTTTGGGGGAGACGGTGCCAGATTTGTGCTTTGTTGGGCTGCTCAGAAATGGGACGAAGTGGAGAGGGCAGCAGGCTCACTCCTAACTCTGTGGCAGATCTTCTATCCAAGCGACAGAGGTTGGGACCTAGCAAGTGAAACCGGGTTTTTGCCAGGACATTAAAGGATCCCTAAGTAAAGTTTGTCACAGCTAACTGTGCAGAGGTGGAGGATTTAGGAGGTGATAAGTTGCTCTGACTCTCATGAGGGCCTCTAAGTACTCAAAGGAGCACTGCCGTCCAGAGGTTGGTATCCTTTTCTATCCCAGCACACACAGTGTGGCTGCACACACAAAGGGAGCTTCTCCTGGAACCATCCCTCTTGGGCTACTCCCAGGCCCCATTCTCACATCCTTTTTGTTTCCTGTGCTCCTGCCTGCACCCTAGGCTGTCTCCTACCCACACCAGAGTGTCCACGGCCTATTCAGGAGGAAGCCACTTAGTGACTTTTCTGTCAGCCCAGTGAGGCGAGCAACTGAAATCCTATTCTTCACATCCACCTGCAAGTGAGGAGGAGGGGTGATGCTCTTCTCACGCACACTCACCCACCCTACGCTCCATGGTGCCAGTCAGTTGGGAAGAGCTGAAGAAGCTTCATGTAGAACTTGTTCTGCTCAGCTCCTCTCTAGGTCCCTTCCTCATACTAAGGGAGGCATGAACAGAGAATACCAACCTACTGCACAAGGGTAGCCTGAGCATAGGTGTGTATGGTGGGGAGGACCTCTGACTTGTGACACTCGTGGAGATATGGGAACCCTTTACACCTCTGAGAGACTGGACCTTCCTGCCTTTTCCTCCACCACTTCTTGAGGACCTGGCTTGCCATGCCGAAGAGCACATTCATACACCCCCACCAACTGGCAGAAAATTGGCTCTGAGCAAGCCTGGAGAATGCCCATCACTCCAGAATTGCTGGTGTTCATCAGCAACAACATGGCAGGAGAAGGGAAGGAGGAAGAGCAGCAAGGGCACAGAGCCTGTTGTGTGGCAGGTCCTACCTCCCTCGGTCATTTGCACCTCATCTCCTTCCTCCGAGGAGGATGGAGGTTCGTGAAGTATCTAGACAGCAAGTGCAAGCCTAGGGAGCCCTAACAGTGAAGGGTAGGGAAGAGGAAAAGGAAAAGAAGCAAGAGAACTTCTTCCAACAAATCCCACCTATCTTGGAAGGAGACCAGAGAGAGAGAAAAGCCTCCACTGCCTAAGGAAATAGGGGAAAAAATAGTGATGGAAGATTTGGAAAAGTAGGTGTATCAGGTGGGCAGAGAAGCTTTCTAAACCAAAGTCCTCCCCTCCCACCCAAAAGAAAAATCAGCCCTCAAGAGGAACAGAAAGAGCAATAGTTCACAGCTGAGTTTCATGCCCAGTGAGTGTCCATCCCTGCCCTTCCCCTGCCACCCACTGCCACCCCATCCCAGGCCATTCCCACCCACCCGCACTCCAGTGTTGTTACCACCATGTCAGAGCAGGACACTCCTCCCAACCATCTGCAGGCAGAACAATGGTCCCCGTAACACAGTAGAGACAATTCGGCATGTGTGTGTGTCTGTGTGTGTCTATGTGTGTGAGAGTTTTCTGTTGTTGTAAACTTTAAGAAACGATTTTGTCAGTTTTGTATTTGTCGGGAGTATTTTGTTGTTGGTTTATTTTTCACAGTCAAGTGGCATATTTTTTTTTCTGGTTGTTGGGGGGGGGTCTTGTTTTGTATTGTTTCCTTGGAAAGAGCAAGGGAGAGTCACAGCTTCTGCTGAGCAGAGACTCCTTTCCAGTAATCCAGGATGTCATGCAGATCCTCGTCCTTGGCAAACTGAACTTTCTTCCTCAGGGCATGCCCAGCCGCCATGTAAACCTCCTCCCTGTGGTGCTTCTTGTAAGGCCGGAATCGCTCCCAGATCTTGTGGGTGCTCTCTGATGAGTACTCAGGGCTGGAGGAGTAGCCCGAGAAGTAGTGTCTGGGGGAGAGCTGGGAATACGTGGAGTCTCGCTTGGACCGGGAGAGTGGCTTGAGGAATGACACCCGCTGGCTTAAGGTGTCAGCACTTTCCTCATAGTACAGGGCCGGGAAGGAGTGACGGTGCTCACTGCAATGGTAAGAAGGCTTGACCTCCAAGTGGTGGATGGCGCCCGGAGACACCAAGGGAAGACGATCCAAAGGGCTGTTGAGTGGGCTGCCCTTCTCAATGTATTTGGAGTCAGACTTGCTGAGTGGTGGGTGGTCAGGCACATCCAAGCTGAAGACCTTGGCGCTCTTGATGGAGCCACTAGAGGAGACACTGCAGGTCTTTCTGGCCACCGCAGCATCAGCACTGAGCTGGCGCTGCAGAGGGTGGTGGGAGCTTTCCTTGTAAGGTGGGGAAAGAAAGCTGGGCCGCTCTAGCCCACCTGAGGAACTGGCTGGGATGGACTGGCACTCAAAGGCCATGTCTGAGTCAACACCAGTCCCACCACCCAGGAAGGAGGCTGTGTCCAGCTTGAGGGCATCAATGCAGTTGTTGATGATCTGGTTGACCTTGTCTACCTCCTTGGCTATAGTAGAGATCTCAGCAGCTGAGCCTTGCCCATTGTCAAGCTCCCTCAGGTCCTCATCCCGCTGGGTTCGTTCCAGCCCATCCCCACCACCAGTCCGCACCTCAATGTAGTTACCTTTAGTGGTGACTTTAGGAGTCTCCATCCCAGCCTCCATTGACTTTGATGGGGGCAACTTCTCCCCAATCATGGAAGGGATGGAGGACATCCGTGTGACAGGGATGACTGGTGGCTCACCCAGCTTCTGGGAAGGATGGACCATGGTACTGGTGTCAATATCTGATCCATAACGCATTTCCAGGATGGTCTTTTTGACGTTGAGAGACTTCTGTTTCTCCTCCTGCATCCTCCGCTTCCGCAGGCAGTAGTACACCACTCCCAGGACAATGACCATCCCAAAGAGGCAACCCAGCGTGGTCATGATATAGTGGGTGGTGGTTGAAGTACTGGAAATAGGGTCCTCCCTGCCTTTGCTCCGGGTTGCAAAAGTCAGGCAAGTGTGGTTGTAGCGCCTGTTGTTGCGGATGGAGGCCACACAGAAAGTGTAATCAGTGTGGGCCTTCAACTTATTGACAGTGACATATTCCTTCTTGCTCTTCAGTGTTGCTATGTCAGAAACGTAGCTGTTGTTGTATTGGACCAGCACATACATCTTACTGTAGGGCATGGGGATGGTTACCATCAGGATGGCTGAGGTGATGGTGACATCATGGAGCTTGATACTGGGACTGAAGGAGGAATCAGTGGTGGAGGATGCTGGAGGCTTGACTGAGAGGAAGTCCCCAGGGCTGATGGCTGAGCCCTCATCCAGGTCTCGCTGGGAGTCAGGGGTATAAGGGGTGGGGTTGACCCTGGAGAGGGAGGGGATGGTGCCACCTCTGCACATGGACTGGAAGATGGTGATGGCATTGCGGTTGTGGTGAGGCCGAGGTACCAGGAGTGGGTACCCAGCGAACTCCCGCGGAGTCTCACACTGGAGCCGGTCATAGTTCTTGGTGACATTGTTGAAGAGTGCCAGCCAGTTAAGAAAGCTGTAGAGGCTACAGTCGCAGTTGAAGGGGTTCCCGGCCAGCTCACACACCATCAAATTGCTCAAGCTGGTGAAAGTGTTCCCCTCCAGGCGGCTGAGACGGTTAGATGACAGGTCAATGCTAATCAAGCTGGGGCACTCAGAGAAGGCAGTAGGGGTGACCAGCTCAATTAGGTTGTGCTGCACAAAGAGGAACTGGAGACGGGCCATGCCCCGCAACATGCCCTCTGTCAGGTTGGTGAGTTTGTTGTAGCCCAGCTGTAAGACCTGGAGGTTTGACTGGCCCATGAAAGCCCCATCCTCGATATAGGAGATCTCATTCTTCGTCAGGTTCAAATCAGTCAGGTTGCCAAAGCGGTTGAGGGAGGAGTACAGCACCACTTTGAGCTTATTCTCGTTCAGACGCAAGTCATGCACTGTGCTGTTGATATGCTGGGGGATGGTCTCATACGGGGGCTGGTTCTGGCTGCAGATGGCCAGCCACACATAACCTTTGTCCCCCTCGATCAGCCAGCAGTCACCTCGCACAGTGCCAGGGGAAAACAAGCAGAGCAGGGCAGCTGCCCACAACCCCAGGCACATCATGGTTTGCAGTGGTGCCCTCATCAGGATGGAAAAAAAAACCCACAAAAAACAACCCCAAATCTCAGGACCACAGTTTCCTTTCCACAAAAGGAAACTAAGGGACAGAGGGAAGAGAAAGGGGCAGTAACTGGGGTTTAGCAATGGAAGGGCATAAGCACCCCAGTCCTATTGGGTGTCATCACCATTATTTCGTTTTGCCCTCTGGGTCAAGCCAGGAGCATGGAGCAGAGGCAACATGTGGATTCTGCTTCCAGCACACCCAAAAGCTATGAATGTGAATGACTGGTCTGGAAGGGAACTACCTTGTGCTTCTTTTCTAAACAAAATTCAGACCGAGGATAACGAATCTTCTTTGATGCTCGTGAGCGACTTGCCCA